GACTTGGCGAGCACCATCCTAAGGGAAGACTGTCTTGATCTGTTCCAAGTCCCAGTACCCCCACCGTGCTGAACTTGCTCCTGCAGTGGGGACAACTGGCTGCTCCTGGGGGAGCTAGAGTTGGAGACTCCAGCAGAGGCTCTGGAGTAGGAGCCACATTCTCCCCTATTGAGTTCCTGACCACACTGGTCCTAAGTAGGGGATCCACTAGCCCCATCTTCCCAACCTAGATGCCCCACCTTACTGAGCTTCTGCCATGTACAAGAGGACGTGGGACACGGCCACCTGGGGCCCACTCTACAGTCGTTCTTCAAAAGGTTCTGGGAGGAAGTTCAGGCAACCTCAGGGTGGCGGAGGAACTGACAAGTGGACGCCAATCTCAGAGAGCCTGGAGCCTTTTGTTGATCTGTCTCCAGCTTAGAACTGCCCGAAGCTTAGAACGCAGCTTGGCCCCGGCTACATACACCCAGGTCCAGTAGACACAGCCACAATCAGTGGATAGTGTGGTAGCTCCAGACAGGTAGCCCAAGGCTGGTTACACAGAATGTCTGGCACTGACCCGCACCAGAACCCATCCAAGTGGGCCCGGAGCCAACACAGCAGTGGTGGGCTTCAGAACCTCACTAGAGCTCAACCCATCTAGCCACACAAATGGCACAGCCAAAGGGGGATTCTGGCAGGCACCAGAACCTGCTGGCAACAACTCCACTTCAGGGGGCAGCCCTTGAACAGCGACTCATACATGATGAATGAATTCTACTATTATAGTCAGCCAAGACTCAACTACAGCAGGAGGGGACAAATAAACATTTCTGGAGCACCTAACTCAGGTAATCTAGAAGATTGCACCACATCACAAAGCCCTCATAACAGCTTGGGAGTCCTAGTACATCTACCTAATACATAAAGTCAAACACAAAAAGGCTGAAAAATGGAGAGAAAATCCCCAGAAAAGGATTAGATGAAATAGAAGCAACCAAGATACCAGATGCAGAGTTTAGAATAGTGGTTATAAGGATGCTCAAGGACCTTAGGGGAAGAATGAATGATCTCAGTGAGAACTTAAATGAAAAGATAGTAAGCATTAAAAAGGACCAGAAGCCATAAAAAAGAACCAGTCAGAAATGAAAAATGCAATATCTGATATAAAGAATACATTAGAAGGAATCAACAGCAGATGTTAGGTGAAGCAGAGAATTGAATTAGCAATTTAGAGGACAAGATAACATAAGCACCCAAGAAAAACAAAAGAGAATTTTTAAGAGAAGTCTAGTGGACCTCTGGGACAACATCAAGTGTCACAACATTTGCATCATAGGGGTACCAGAAGGACAAAAAAAGTGAGCAAGGGATCACTTTTGTTTGAAGAAATAATGGCTGAAAACTTCCCTAACCTGGTGAAGGAAAAAGTCACACAGGTTCTAGAAGCACAGAGAATCCCTATCAAGATGAACCCGAAGAGGCCCATACCAAGACACTTTGTAATTAAAATGGTAAAGGTTAAAGAGAGATTCTAAAAGTGTGCAAGAGAAACATGGATGTAACCCGGCAGCCAAGGAGAGTGGACTGGAATGCACACGTATGAACAATGATGACTTCACTGTACCAGTCAGTGGGGGTGGTAGATGCCATTGAGCATGTGTACTGTGTAGCCTCAAAATGACTGAGTTAGCAGAGCAATGAATCTGCATCAAATTTTACATTAAGCTTGAACATTCCTCTGCAGAAACTATTCAGATGATTCAGAAGGCTGCAGCTATGGGCAACTGCTGATTGGCAGCTTCATCACAACAATGCTCATGCATCACATCTCAAGCAGAGTTTTTTTGTGAAATATCAAATCACCCAGGTGATTTAGGCCCCCCACAGCCCAGATTTGGCACTAGACTTCTGGCTTTTCCCAAAACTAAAATCACGTTTGAAAGGGAAGAGATTGTGGACCATTGATGAGACTCAGGAAAATGTGATGGGGCAGCTGATAGCAACTGGGAAATCTGTGTGAGGTCCCAAGGTGCCTACTTTGAAGGAGACTGAGGTGCCATTGTCCTATGTACAATGTTTCTTGTATCTTCAATAAATGTCTCCATTTTTTCATTAAAAATAAATACATGTAAGAGAAAAACAATTACTTACCTACAAGGGGGCTCCCATAAGGCTATCAGCTGATTTCTCAAACAGTTCAGGGCAGAAGGGATTGGTGTGAAATATTCAAAGACATGAAAAGCAAGGACGTACAGCCAAGACTACTCTATCCAGCAGGCTATCACTTAAAATTGAAGGCAAAATGAAAAGTTTCCCAGAGAAAGGAAAGCTAAAGGTGTTCATTACCACCAAACCAGTATTGCAAGAAATGTTAAAGGGCCTTCTTTAAGAAAAGGAAAGAAGAGACATAGAGAAAGAATAAGATGGCAATAAATAAGTACCTATCAAAAATAACTTTAGGCCTGGCTAGCGTGACTCAGTGGACTGAGTGCAAGCCTGCACACCGAAAGGTTGCCAGTTCAGTTCCCAGCTGGGCACATGCCTGGGTTACAGCCCAGGTCCCTAGTTTGGGGCATATGAGAGGCAACTGATAGGTGTTTCTCTCCTTTGTCTCTCTTCCCCTCTCTCTAAAAATAAATAAAATCTGAAAGAAAAAAAACCCTTGTGAATGGATTCAATGTTCCAATCAAACACATAAGTTAGCTGAATGGATAAGAAGATAACAGTCCAAGTGCCCATTAATAGATGAGTGGATAGAAAGCTGTAGTACATTTACACAAGGGAATACTACTCAGCCATAAACATTTTAGAAGGAAATCTTACCTTTTGCAACAGCATGGATGGACCTGGAAAATATTATGCAATGTGAATGAAATAAGCCAGTCAGAGAAAGACAAATACCATGTGATCTCACTTATATGTGGCATCTAGTGAACAAAATAACAAAATAGAAACAGAAGCATAGATATATAGAACAGACTGACAGCTATCAGAAGGGAGGGTGGTTGGGGGTCCAGGTAGAAAAACAGGTGAAGGGATTAAGCAAAAAAAAAAAAAATGTGTGTGTACACACACACACACATTTATCAGCAATTTTCCACTGGTGTGCCACAAGAAGTTTTGAAATATGTAATGCCTGATGATGTAGCCAGGAGCACGGACCTTTTCCCTTAGATGGGCAAGTAAAAAAGTGACAACTGTCAACACAACAATAGCCATCCGGTGTGAATGAATCAAAATTACACCCATTTTTTGTGAGATTGGCAAAAAAAATACAGTTTTTGGTGTGCCACAGATGTTTAGTAATTAGTTTGTGTGGGCCATGAGATGAAAAAGGGGGAAAATTTTTTCCTTTTTTCTCTGTTTGCTACTTCACTGACTTCTTGGATTTGTCACCGAGCTCGGTGGTTGTGACTTTTTCCTAATATACACCAGTGCCCGAGTACCACAGGACTGCCTGCTTAGGGTGGGTAGCCCATGGAGGGGCCTCAGTTATGTGTTTTGAGTATTATTACCCTTGATTATAAACATTTAGGGACATTTTTTTTTGTAAAATGACACTTTGACTGCACCCCATCAGCTTTTACGGAATTTTGGATTCGTTTTATTCTTAAACTATTACATACTAGATGTGCACGTCCAGAAAGTAGCAAGGAAGCAGAAATGGTGGCAGGGATGCTGATTCCTCGGTGCCTGGTGAGACTCGCTCTGTGGCCTGTGCAAGGCCAGTTTTCATCCAGTGTCCCTGGGTGCTCATGAAGAGTGTGGGTTCACGACCGGGGACCAGGTTCTCTTCATTCGTAACCCTGTTCGCTGAATGTGTTCAAACCTGCCATGCCCTTCCTAAACTTTTATCTGCTTCATCTATCATTTATCGGGAGTGGAGGGTAGAATCTCCAATTATGCTAGTGTAGTTTTCCAGACTTGTAGTTCTGCCAATTTTTATTTTATGAATTTTGAAGCTGTATGGTTAGCTGCATACAAATTTAGAATTTTGTCTTTCTGCCAAGTATTTTTTAAATATTAGACTATGAATCCTCTTTCTTTTTGTTAGTTCCTTTTACTTTAATATCTGTTTTGCTAATCCTTTTATTGTCGATCATTTGGGCCTAATGCATTTGTAGTTTTTGGGTTTTTTCCAAACTGCATATAGTTTCTTAAAGAGCGTGTGGCATGTTGCCATCGTCTAATTGTTTAGCTTGCTGACATAATGATTACTGGCAATTTTTATTTCTTCCACCTTATTTTATATTTGTCTTGCTTTTAAAATAATTTTTGTTGTTACCTCTTTTTTTCTATTTCTTTAGATCAATTAAGTTTTTTTAAATTTATTTATTTCTCGTTCTCCCAACTAATTTGTGAGTATAACCCTCTATTTCTACTTTTATGGGTGATCATGTATATTTATTTAATTTACTCTAAAAGTAATCTACCTCTCTTCCCAAACAACTTAGAACACTTTAACTTCCTTGTTTTACATATTATCGTTTAGTATTTCAATTTTATGTTGCTACCCAAGTGAAACATTACTTTTTATATAATCAGTATTTGTTTCGATTTACTCACATTTACCTAGTTTGTTCACTATTCCTTCATGCTTCTCAGACTTTTACATGTAGGACTGTTTTCCTTTTTCCTGAAATACTTTCCTTGGAAGTTTCTTCACATACAGAGATCTGGTGATAACGAACTGTGTTTTGTTTTGTCTAAAACTTACACAAATGTAGAATTATCTGGTCCTCCAACTCTCTCATGGAAGATCAGAAGCATTTAGTATCCAAGTAGCAAACCACCAGCAGGTACCTGGTGCCCTGGAGCTGGGGTAGCCTGCTTTCAGGCGGGCTGTGCTGTGTGCTCTCTCGAGCTCTCCTCCCGGCAAATGTGAGGGTCCAGTGTGTCTACAGGGATGAAACTCCACACAGAGACGCCTGCTCACTAATGACACGGGGCCACTCTGTGCACTGCAGAGAAAGCTAGGGAGTGTGCGATGTGTACAGAAAGCAATTCAGATTCAGCACTTAAAACGGAGGGAACTCATGCTTTAATAGACACTGAAATCACAAAGGAAGGCCAAGTGCCTTAGCAATCTCAATAAAAATATGAAGTTCTTTTTACATGATAAATTTCATAATATAAAAAGTTTAATGCCATCTGGAAACTGTAATTTACAAAAATGTCCACATAGGCCAAAGATGGCTAACACTGCATATAAGGGGTGTGAGTGCCAAGTGGGGAAAGGGTCTGAGGGACAGGTGACCGCTCATGTCAGATGGTCCTTACGTGGAACATCTTTGAAGGATCTGGCACAAACAAGGCCCAGTTCACAAACCACATGTACAATCATTTTAGATAAAACAACAAAATATGTGATCAAATATTATACAATTTTCACTTTCTGCCTACTTATGAAAAGCAAACCAGATTATTGCATGGTATTTTTTCCAACCTGAACTGAAGCTAACAAAGTGACAGTTCTTGTGTTAGGGTGTGGTGGGACAGGCAGGCACCATACTGGAGACTGGCTACAGTGACCACCTACTGAGAGTTACTGGGACAGACAAGGTCGGGGTAGGGACAATGTGTACAGCACGTGGTCTCCTGCTGAGACCCCAGCAAGTGTCAGTGTGAACCATGGTTTTTTTCCAAGGGGATGAAGGTAAGAACTTCTTCATTTTACCACACACTAATGTGGATCATAATGTAAATTTTAGTAGCTAATTGTGTCTTGGTATTTTGACTTAGTTAAAATTGGCGAAATAGTTGAGTCATTCACTGCTAAGAATTAAGGCAGAGTCTACTACTGCCTTGCTTTGTGGTCATACTAAGGTTTCTGGGAAAGGGAGATTTTATTGCTTGTGTTTAATGTGTTCACATGTGATGGAGTACAATAGGGGCAGGGTGTTCAGTTTTCTGAGCTGTGGAAAATTGTATCCAAAGGTATCTGCATATGGAGAAGAAAAAGTATTTTTGTAAAGTTTACCCACATCCATTGACTCCTTCCAAAGTGGAACAGAGAGCCAGTGACTGCGGAGCCGTTTGCTTCTATCCATGCGGCTTAGGGTTCTCCTGCACTCAATCCGTTTTGTCCACAACCTGACACTCGCTTCCCCTAGACTGTAGAAACAACACACTATTCTAACTGTATTTTTTGTTACCTATACCAGGAATTAGCAAACTTTCTTAAAAGGCCAGGTATTTAGGTATTTTAGGCTTTGTGGGCCAAGAGACAAAATCAAGGATATCGGTAGGTAATTAGGTAGCTATTTAAAGATGTAAAACCCATTCCTACTCATGACTGTAAAAATCCAGGCCTCTGACCTGATTTAGCCTGTGGGTTGTAGTTTGCTAACTTCTGATCTGTACAAAGAAATCTGTGAATTATACAATTTCACATAATTTTTAAGTGCATACTTTTTCAGTGAAGCCTGAAAAATTCACTCTCATTTCACATCCATTTCACTCATAGAGAAAACACCAAGACTGACAGTAAACATAGAGAAGCCACGACTCTACAGTGATTTTTAGTTTGGTCCTATTATTTCATCATCTTAGCTTTCCTTCATTGAAGCTTACAGCTAGAACAACAACGGAAGAAAAACACATACCATTTGGCTTTTCAACAATGAAAATGTAGAACAGCAATGTACGTAGGGCTAAAACCAGGTTAGGGTCCATGAGTCCTCCTAGCTGGCTCCATAACCATGGGAAGCGGTCTGGGGGTGGAGGGCGTGCTAGAGGTGGGCCAACGGGGCAGCACCCTCACCCCTATGGGTGGAGCACAGATCCCGGGCCTTTCCTCCAGGGCTCCTTGGCACTTGGGAAAGAGGCTGAGATTTGCTGAGAAAGGAACAGCCCAACTATCTGCATAAGGATTCAGAAATTTACTTTGAGGTTTAGTTTCCTTATTGAGGACCTGATTTTGCTATCTAATGCACAGTGCTATAAACTTGGCTTTTATTTACTACACTAGTACTTTTATTACCATTTATTCTTTCCCTACTAACAAACATAAAGACCACCTTATAATTGCTTGCATCTTTATAAAGTATTTCTCTTCCAGTGCCGGGTCAGGGTTAGAATGGGACATCCTTCTAGTTTGCTTTTGTCAGCATGGCTGTTGGGTTAAGTGCAGAAACCTCTACGACAGAGCAGAGAAGAGAAACAGTTGAATAAAGACTCAGAGTACACTGAGGAATGGGGCATGTGGTCGGTTTATAAAGTGAGATCCTACCCAAGGTTAAAAACCCGACCTGGGGACCTTGATGTTAGTGTCCTTCCTGCCAGGCCCCTCGTGTCCACTCCGTGGGCTGCAGGTGTCCTGGGCCAAGCCCACCCGTGTGTGTTACACACATACCCTCACAGTGAGGATGGTAGGCTTTTAATTTTAGAATTACCTAAGAGAGGCTTCTCAATTCTCTAACTAAACTTAGCACTAATGTGATTTTTAGCATTTCACTTGAGTATGTTCATGGTTACGCCTCCCTGGACTATTCTTCTGTCTCCTCCCAGCTCAGCACTCCAGTGCACTGCCACAGCTGTCAGGAAGCCCACCTTGGTTTGTTCTGATGGCACTTTCAGGGGTCTGTTTCCCTTTTCAGTGACATTTGGATGTGAATCCCAACAAAGGCCCCGCTTCGCAGGCTGTGGACGTTAAAGCCTTCCGTGGGGGGGGCGGGGGCCTTGTCCTTCAGACGCTGCAGCAAGGGACCCTGGTCACAGCTAAGATGAGGGTCGCTGTGCAGCTCACAAACATGGGGTGCTGGGGGGTTGTGGGAACCTGGCAACAGATTTCAAACAGAAGCGGTTTTAAAGGCCTGGAGATGGGAAAAGAGAATAGAACTGAGCAGCTAATAAGGTGAATAGGAGCTGGAAGGCGACATTCTGGTTAAATCCAGGTAGCCAGAGGATTTTTTTTTTTTTTGGCTTATAAGGAAACAATAATTTCAGTCTGTCCACCCTTAAGCTTGATAATTACTTACTGATGCCTATTCAAAATTTGCCATTTTAAAAAACTTTTTGAGCTTTTAAAAATAATAGCTATAAATGCAAAGTACTATTGATAATAAAACCAAGTTGTTTATCCGTGTACAAAAAAGGTCATTAATGTTTTAAAAGCACAAAGTTGCATTTTAAATCACAATTGCATAGTTCTAAAATGCCTGGATAAGAGTCACATAAATGTTTTAAGAAAATTCAAGTTTGGTTGACAGTGGGCCCCAAGGACATTTGTAGACTTGATGAAGCAGAGTTCAGGATGGAAGTGCTGTGTTGATGTGAATTATTGCATTGTTACTGTGATGTTACAATATCATGAGACCAAAATTTCTACAATTACAAATCATTGGCATTTTTTAAAACCATTATTCTGTTTTTGGCTAATAAAATGTTTTCATGTAGAATTCAAGTTAGAGATATTTTATATATCCCACCCCAATCAGCACCTGAAAGCCTAGAAAAAGCTCTATTTGCATTTCTGTGTATAAAAGGTACTGCATATATACCTCTTAGCAAAATATGCACTCCCTCACCTCTCCCCAACCCGGAATGAACCATGACCATTTTTATACAAAAATCCTGTTGAATAATCATGTCAAAGATGAGAAGCAGAGAGTTTAAAGGTAAACATTTGGTGAAGTGTGTAGAAAATTCCACGAGCCTCCTGTACCAACCCCACAGCAGTCCTGGCTTTCGGTGAATCTGACCCGGAGTCCCAGAGGAGCCACCAGCCGTGCGCACGCGCGCGCGCGCGCGCGCGTGTGTGTGTGTGTGTCTGCAGCGTCCAGGCAGGCGTGGTGGTGCCTCTCACCTGGAGAGCGCAGCCTCTGTCAGGTGGCTGGTGGCTTCACGGGGGCACTGCACTCAGACAGGGGAGCAGGCCAAGTGAATGATGAGATCCTCTCTGCAGGCTGCTGCACTCTGTGTCACTGGGCACAAAAGATGCTTTAACATTTGGAGGAAGGAAAAAATCTTCCTGGGGACAGAAACTTGTAGCCATTTCCAGAAGGAAGTCTCAGAGGGCGAGTGGGAGCTGCAGCAGGGGGACCGGTGGGCGTCGGCAGCATGCTCAGCGTGGTGGTCTCGCTGCGCCAGTGCCCGTTGGGAGGGCCTTTTTGTGGTGTTTCTCCGCGTTGTTGCAGAGACAGTTCCTTCAGTTCAAGCTTGTCTACTCCTTCCTCCTTCTTGTTGTGCCGAGGTGACAGGTTTAATAGACTGAGGACATCTCTTCTGGAAGCCATCGTTCCAGGGCTCCCCCGGAATATTCTCATCGGCCCTGTGGAGTGTTGGGGCGCACTCTGCCAGAACATCTTCAGGTTGTGGACGGCCTGCACCTTTTCATCGATGGCTGCCATTTTCAGTTTGTCTATGTCGGGAGCATCAGCTGGACTGGAGCGAGCGGAACCAGCTGAGGAATAGGAAAGAGCTGGGGATGGTGCACTACCAGCAGGAGATTGATGGCCTGAGCTTGGGGACATGTTCCTTGGTGATTTGGAGATGTGGGCACTGTAAGGAGAGCTGGGATACTTCAGTTTAAAGAGAGGTTGGTCGGTCAGGGAAGTCTGGGAGTCAGAGCCAGGTGATGGCCGGCCACTGTGCTGGCTCGGGCTGTCTTTGATGGACGCCTCTGAGGGGGCGGGGCTGCTGTATCCTGAACTCACCTTGGGCAGGGATGAGCTTCTGGCTGGGGGCTTTGGTTTAACAGTAATTGGTGATGGCTGGCTCTTCTGATGCGAGAGGCTAGGCCTGCTAAACGCACTGGTTTCTGACGCTCTGAAGACGGAAGCGTTATTTGGCATGGAAATGCCATCTTCCGGGTTATTACTCTTGCTGGTCTGACCGCCACCCCTCTGAAGACGCTCCACTGCAATCAGATGACTTTGTGTCTCTTCTAGGATCTTCTGGGCCAACTCTTGTGGATCAAGCTTTGGGTTGCTTTCTTCTTGGGATTTCACGGTACTGTCTGTTTCTGTGCTAGACTGGTCTGATTCTCCCGTATCTGAACTTGCTAGTTTTCCAACCTTCTGGAAGGGTGAGTTTGGGCTGGGAATCAGAGTCATTTTAACTGGAGAATTTGGAGTGCTTATGCTCCCCTTGGAGCTCATTGAAACTTTCACACCTCCAGCTGTCCCTCCTCGGGGCTGTTTGTGATCTGGGGAGAAGTGTGTCTTTCTGTTTTCTTGGTAGGTTGCCAAAGGCTCAGTGCTGATGATGGAAAACCCTTCATATTCTTCTTCATCTTTGCTGCCTGCGGGGCGAGTCTGGGGGGACAGCTGGCTCCGAGGCAGGGTGGACCGCTGTGGGTAAGCATTCTTGGACCTGTCATAGTCCTGCCGTCCTCGGGGGCCCCCACCTTCTGACCCACCCTCGGGCTTCGAGACAAAGCTCATTGAGGAGGCGATGGAGCTCAGACTGTACACAGAGATGGCGTCCGAGGCGATACTGTCTGCACCAGTGGGAGAGAAGGGGGGGTGCTGGTAGCCCAAGGGCAAGGCGTTGGAGACAGACTGGGCCGAGGCCAGGGACTCCAGGGAAGACGAGCTGTCAAGGCTGAGGCGCTTGGGCAGTTCAGTAGAATCTAAGAGAAAACGCATGCGTCCAGAGTGCAGTTAGCATTCTGTATAGTTTTGAGTTTTCTTTCAAAGTCACGTACATCTTTATATGTACAGAAGCTAGGAAAGCATTGCTACATATGACAACTTGAATTCGTCTTATCATCCTGAAAAACACAGTTCTGTTGGAAACAGGAACTCTTGCATAAGGACAAAAACACCCTAGGGGACTCCGTGTCTGCCTCCTGCTTTGACCTGCGAGACCATAGGGTCCTGCGAGCAATCTGTGATGCCCCCTGTGCTAGACCCAAACCCATCACTGCACATTGCAGCAGCCTCCTCTGGAGTCATTTACACTCACTCCTGTACCGCCTCTCCTCCCACTTTCTCTTAACCAGCCCCACTCAGGCTTCTGTCCTCCCCAGTTCTTGTAAAGGCACCAGTGACATCATCCCTGCTGCCACATCAGTGGTCACTGCTCAGTCTGCAAGGTCGATCGCGCCCTGCCTTCACTGGCGGCTCCTCCTCATCTTTGTGACCTTTGAACCCCGGCATGCCCACAGGACTCGGTCCTCTTTCCCTCAGGCTCGTTTGCACGTGTATGTCCTCCATGGCCTCTCCTGGACCTCCAGACTCGTAAAACCAGCTGCCTACGTAAGTGTCTAATGGATACTTCAAAACTGAGTATGTCAAAATGAAACTCCAACTCGTATCTCCTGCCACTTTCAAGACTCAGCAAAAGGTAGTCCCTCTGGCAGTTTTTCCAAAAAACAGGGTCTCGCCTTTGATCCTCTCTTTCTGTCTCACATATTATTCTTCAGCAGATCTGGTTGGTTCTGCCTTCTAACCGGGGCTACCATCTGGGCCAGCATTTCGTTTCCACGCTCCAACCAGCTTGGCCCTTTGAGAAGGCAGGCGTACCCCCCGGATTCCGAAAACTGCCTCCCAAGTGGTTCCTCCCTGTCCTGTCTGCTCTTCGGCTGCCCGGTCTCCTCCCAGCCTTGCACACCCGGCTTGTTTTCTCAGCAGCACTTCGCAGCACCTCAGCTGATGTACCATGTGTACCTTAACTGTAAGTTCCATGAGAGTAGGAAGTTTTTGTTTACTGTTCTTGAACAGTCCTTCACACACACACACACACACACACACACACACACATGTTTCTTTCCCCTTCCCACAGTGTTGCCAGGTGTGCTGGCATCTGCCCCAGGGGCCCTGGACAGAGCTCTTACCAAAAAGGGCAAGCAGGGACTGGAGTGCAAAGTGCATGGTTCTTCGATTGGCTTGTTTCCCGGTTTTCAGGATTACCTCCTCCTGACCAACTTCACAGAGATCAAAACCTGGAGGAACAAAGAGTATGAACATCTGCTTCCTTAGGGAAGACTCCATATTCTGAAAAGGATGAGAACTGTAATGCTCCTCATACAGTGTCATGGGAACCCCTGCAGGCCCCGCAGCAAGGGCCCTGCCTGGGGCTGCCCTCTGTCCCTTCACAGAGCACTGGCCACTTTCCTGCTTAACTACATTCTTGAGAGCTGAGGGTCAGAACTAGAAAAGGCTCGTTAACATTTGTTTTCTCCATTCTTTCGCAGAACAGTCCACTTAAAGGAGTCTGCCCAGGGCAAAAACTGGCCACTCCCTTTGGCAATGAGTCCAATATTTAAAGCTGGGGCATGGGAAGGTAGAAGCTTCTCAAGAGCAAGGAAGATGTCTTCACATGTGCTCAGCGTCCGCCACTGAGGGCTCTGGGGCAAGCTCTCTGCGATGGTGGAGAATCTGTCTTGGCTGAACCACCCTGCAGAGACTCCACTTTGCCAAATCCCAGGAGGGGTCGCTCCCCGAACCTAAGGGCTCTACTGAGACTTGGAGCGGACACAACAAAGGGCGTGAGCCGCGGAGCAAGAGGCTGGCTGGTGAGCTGTTGTGCCAGCACTTGGACTTCTTAAGAGATGCTGTGGAGGCATCCAGGACCTCTCTGCAGGAAAAACTCAGAAGGAAGGAGCCAAACACTCTGTGACCAAGGCGGGGCTGTGTCCAGAGAAAGGCCCTGCCGAGCAAGGCTTTAGGGCCTGAAGCGCCTTCAGCACTGAAGAGCCTCACTGAGCCTCCCCGGCAGATGACTGAGCTCCGCCTGAAACGCTGCCGGTGCTCGGTGCTCGGTGCTGGAGGCCCGCAGGCAGGCTCCTGCGGTACCAGGCCCTTTCCCTCAGCGTTGCAGGGGCAAGACTCTCACAGTGCTGCCTTCGTCAGCACGCTGTGCGTTCATGACGCAGAGTGTTCACTAAAGGAGAAATTTGTGTCTATACTTTTATTCCTGCGCAAGGATTCTGACTGTGGTGTGAGGCTATCATTCTTTTGGAAATTAGGTTTCCTTAAGGAGCCACTCAGCATTCTGGTTACTATGGGGCATTTTTCTCTGACTCATAAACAGTACCTGAAAGCAACAGGAAGGTCTCAGGGAACTCAGCATTTAAAAACAAATCAATATAAATGTAATAGCTTAGTTAGAACCTCTACTTTTACCAAATGATTTGAATTGGTTGCTTCAACAGAATCGAGTCCTCTGAATAGCCCATAGCCCTGTGATGGTTGTGCGGGCACGTGCTGACTGCTGAGGGCCGGGAGGGGGCACCTCTCCGAGTCTCGGAGCCCTCGGAGTGAGGGAGCCGCTCCTCCAGCTGCCCAGCCTGCAGAGACGCTTCTTCCGCCCCCCACCCGCCAGTCTCAGTCCAAAGGATTTGAAAATAAGCGTGTGCATAGCGGCTCACCTCTCGAGTATCAGTGGGATTTGGAAAGTAAGAGAAGTAGATGAACATCAACAAAAATCACCCACAACCCGAGCAACAGAGAGTCAGTGACACCTGGCAGCAGACAGCGAAGCATCCAGCTCACAGGTGAGGAGGGCTGACCCCGTCACACCCACACCCAAGGGAGGCTTAGGTCCTGCTTGAGGAAGAGCGTTTCCTTCATAAAGAAAGGTCTTGGCTTTCTCGTCTTACCTCCCCTGGGTCACTGGCCCAAGACCAGCCCTCCGCTGAGAAGAGATCCATCCTGGCTACAGACCTGGCCTCTCTCACTCTCGCTGCACATGCTGCTGACTACGTTTACATAGATGTAAATTTACTGTGTTTACACCAAGACGACTGCTTTACGTCCACAAGAAAACAGCTGATACGAGTCATAAAGGACATCAGAGGTCTTCACAGGGTATGTGGCAGTGGGAGTGTTGTGGGTTTCCTTGTTTACCTTCAAAAAACAGAGGATGCCAGCTCTAACTGAGGTGGGGTGGGGAAGGTCATCTGCAAAGTGGGTTAGAAAAGATGGCCCAATACTGAATATCTGGGCCTCACAAGCAGAGGAAAAACTCTTTTTAAAGGACTTGCTGCCCTGCCACGTCTGATGATTAGTTGCCTGTACCAGTGAACTCAGGCTGTGCCGTTCTCCACAGACCCTTCACCCCCTCGGGTTGAAAACCCATGGCCCCCCGCCGGCCGGAGCTGCTCCCTGCGCCTCCCCTAGGTTCAGTCTTTACTGTCCGTTCGCCTTCGCCACTGAGGGCAGGGCCTCCTGTCCCCAGCTCACTGCTGCATGCCCAGTGCCTGGAGCACTGCCTGGTGCGCAGCAGCTGCGCGAGAAGCTGCGGTTCAGTATAAATGTATAGATGGCTCCCACACATGCCGCGCAGGTGCTCAATGGAGCAGGAGGAGAGCAGCCTCCAGCCTCACGTCAGGAGCTGCCTGCGCCAAGCCACAGGGCTGACAAAGGGAAAGTGAGCATCTTCGACTGAACGAGGGTCTTGCATGTGCAGTTCTAGGTCCCTACAGTCAAGTTTAAGGTGGCTTCAGCAGTATTCCTTTCTGCCAGTTTCCAGTAGACAGTGATAGAAAACAACACCGAAACCGTTGTTTTATGACTGTTCAGCTTTTAATCACAGCCTGACTCCCAACAATACTGAATTTAGCAGATTCATATGAAAATGAGAGACATGAAATCACAGTATAGGGGCCACAGGGGAGATGGGACGGAGCTGGGGAGCCACTTGGGCATTGTACTAAAGCACTGGAACCTTTGAGTGAACTATTTTTGAGTAATATCTGAGAAGATAGAAAACCCCTAAGAGTCTACCAACTTTACCCAACAGAAATTAGGAGAAAAGTAGATTTTTTAAAAAATGGAACTAAAGAAACCAGTTAAGTCTGCCCTACCTAGAGCCGCCAAGAATTCGTGACATCCTGGGAGCCGCCACAGCTGGACGCTGATGGAGACTTGGATGGGAGCCGAGGCGAAGTCCTGCTCCTTCTCGCAGGCCTGCAGCTGGACCAGCACCTGGTGGAGCTGAGCAAGGGGGAGCGGCGTGAGCTTCACTCCTTTCCAACGTCTTCTACCCCTCCGGCCCGCCAAGGATTTGTCCCTAAGTTACTCCTGCGTCGCCTCTTACTGTCATCACTAATGACCTTACATGTGTGTAGCATCTGAAACTCTTTCCAGTGCCTGCATGCCTGTTGTCCTCTTTGTGGGAGGCTCAGGGGGCTGTGGGGTGTTAAAGGTCAGCCCACAGTGAGGGTTCTGCCTCCAGCCGCACATCTCCCCTCAAGCACACTCGCTACGGAGCTGCCAAGCACGAGAGAAGGCTTGGGCCTAGAAGAGGGGTAGGTTATAGGCCTGGTCATCTCCTCTAATTAAAATCACCTTTATGATTTGAGATAAATAGTGAAGAAGAATCCAAGGTTATATTTCTACACCGGGGGTGCCAAACTCATTTTCACCGGGGGCCACGTTGCCTTCAAAGGGCTGAATGTAATTTTAGGACTACATAAGTGTAACTACTCCTTAACTAGGGGCAGGGAGCTCAGCACTCGCTGCCACTGGGTAGAAACAAGGTGCCGGGCCAGATCAAACAAGCTTGTGTTTGCCACCTGTGTTCTAGAGTGTTACTTAGCACTCAGCAATCCCACAGAACCCGCTGAAGTGCCCGTGGTGTTTCAGGCTTCTGGCTCTGTGAACACCACTCAGGAGTCTTGTGTGGGCTCAGTGTCGCTCGCTCTGAGCTGCTTCTGCTCCTGCTGTGCTGATGGCGCTGAAAGGTCAAATCAAGAACACAAGAGGGTGGAGCAGGAAAAGGGGAGCCAGAGCAGAGGAAGGGGATGGACTGCCTGAGCCAGCGGCACTGGCCACCCCGGCCCGAGCGCATGTTGGCATGTGCATGCGACTCGGAGAAACAGCATAGCACCTGTGCACCGAGCTCAGAGCATGCCAAGGGGACCTCGGGGGTGGGTGGGTTGAGGGGCTCACCTGACAACAGTTGCTACTTAAAGTAGTACTCACCATTCCAACCATATTTTTAACAGCCTTCGGCCAGCAGATTATAAGGAAAAGAAAGAAAGAGAGAAAGAGAAGACAGTTTAGATCCAAGCACAGGTTGTTATGCAACACGAGCTGACCGCTGCTTGAGGAAGCGCCACACCAGGCCCGCGGCTCGGACCCAGAGGGGAGAGGAGCAAGAGTCAGCAGGGACACACAGGAGAACGAGCAGCTGTACCCAGGCCAGAAGCACTCGGGGTCAAGGGGCTCGGGTCAGCCAGGCCCTGCCCTTCTTTGCCAGGAGAGGAGCAGGGCAGGCTGGACTCAAGTAGGGAGAGGGCACAGCAGGTGTGAATGGGCCACTCTGTAAACCAAAGTCTGCAGTTCCAGAGTGACTCAGGAAATGTCCACCATCCCTTGGCCACAATGGGCAGCCTGGGACACTTCTTGGGGCCAGGCAGGAGGACGTCAGGTACAAAGTCCCTGTGCTGCCATCAAAATCAAGGAACTACGCAGCTGGCTTTTTGGAGTCTCAGTCTTGCCCTGCAAGTGTAATTCTAACTCTCCCTTTGTGGGGCACAGGCTTCCAGGCCACCTGGGGTCATCCAGTATGCGGCATTCCGGAGGTGTCTTCCTGACTACTGTCAAAAGCAGACAGAACAGCACACTCGGTGTAAAACGAGAAGGAGCCAGACCACTGAGCTCTGTTCACGTCCCAGGTATGGGAGGTTCTAGCACCACTCAGATTTTCAGCGGTTAATCCCAGATGCTGGAGCTTGATTTCCACACAGAAACATTTCTGCTGGAAATTATATCTGCTGATAAATGTATGATAATGTATATTGTTTTTTCAGATTGTTACACTCAGGATGGCCAGAGAAAACTGCTGCGCTCTTCAGGGGTTGCTACACCCTCTGGAAGCCCTCCCGCACAAGGCTGCCAGCTGGGGCTTCGGCCAGACCCCACAGGCCAGTATGAAGGTCAGACGGTTGGAGACCAAGTTGGGAAGGGCCTACTTAGTGCTGAGAGTTAGACTCCTCCAAATGCCTGAGTTAGATCTACATTTTGTTAAAAGCACATTTTTAAAAACCTGCTAAGTGGTATCTTGAAATAGAGCTGTTTGTGTCACTGCTGTGCCGTAGTGGCTGCTGTTTCAAGTGGAGTTCAAACTCGGAGAGTAAGTGCCAGAACACCTGTGCCAGGCCCGCCCTGCACCTGCTGGCTTAGGGACCTTGGCTGTTTCAACATGTCGGTGAGCAGGAGAAACTGGTGGGTGGAGGTGACAAGGTGCAGGAGGCCTCTGAATGGAGAGGTCAGGAAGAGCCCTGACACTACAGGTGACAGCAGCCCCTTAAGTGTCCTCTGAAAGCCCTAGAGCACTCGGGACTCAGCGCCCTCCATCTCTAGCATTTTCTTCCTCCCAATGTCTGCCTTTTCCTTCTAATCACAAAGGCAAGGAGACTGTGCTGCTTGCAGGCTCCTATTCAGGGCCAAATCATTCTTTCCTCGGCACAGCTCTCGGGCCTGAGCTCAGCAGCCCTGGCTCGACTCACCCGGCTGATGAGCTGCTCGCCTGTCTCCGAGGCAGTGATGAGCTTGCAGAGGGCTTGGAGGGCAGGGGTGGGGAGACCTAAACCAAGGAGGAGGAGACCGGTGTTAGTCCAGAGGGAGCTCTGCACCCACAGTCCTGCTGCCTTCCCAGGGGAAAAAGCCCAAAATGTTCAGCATCAGTGGCCTTCAGGACACCCAGACCTGTATGTCCATGTCTGACTCAGGAGAGAATGGTTTCCGAGAAAGACAGGTGGGGCAGGCGCCATCCCGACCCTGCTGCAGCCCTCCAGGTGCATGGTCACACTCCCAGGACCCTTAGTCACTCAGGCTGCATCACCCCCTCTGAGTGATACACGAAGGGCACCCTGAGCTTCTGCACCCTGTTTCACCCTGGGGACGCTGCACCACTCTGTTGGGTCAGAAGCTGCTGATTAAATACTAACAGCAGCTACTGTTGGCCCAGCATCACCTCGTGTCGCCCAGGAAGAGGCAGAGCCAGGGCAGAGGATGCCTCGCCATTACAAATCCAAAGATAAGCCAAAAGCACCCATTTCCTCCACATCAGAAGCCTGTGTCTGGGACTCTGCCGTGTCCCAGCAGAGGGACTCAGCACACTTGATCACTCCTTCCCAGCTCGGATCCCGCGTCCTCCTGAGTGCAGGAGCCACGGTCTCCAGCCCCTGTGCCAGTCAGTCCCTCTGGCTCTGCCCTGCCCAAGGCTTACCCAGCAGCGACTGGATGGTGCTGCTGCACTGCTGGAGCCGGTCGCCAGGGTCGGAAGTTGGGAAGAAGACTGCTGCCGGCAGGCCACTGGCTGGGGGGTCCAGCCGGAAGCCCACGGCAGTGAGGAGGGCCTGCCAGCCAGGGATGCCGCCGACTTTGTTCTCCACACTCTGCTGGGACGTGTACATGGCATTGCGCTGCCCGTTCTGAATGCGCTGCAGGGACTTCTCCACCTACAGGGGAAAGGGCAGTGAGGCGCTGCTCTGCGCAGGGGCTAGCCCTGGTTTCTCTCCGAGTGGCTTTGGGGGAATACAGAGCCCCATGGGTGCAGCTGACGCAGGGCACCCAGGCCTGAGGACTAGACACGGCCTGGCTTCTTGCAAGGGAGGGCACAGAGGGGAGGGATGGTATAATCAGAGCCAGCAAGGGCTGGCACAACCCACAAAAGTTCTGTTCCTCCCCTAACCTCCCTCCTCAGACCAGGCTCTCCTCCACAGACACTGAAGTGATTTGTCTGCAAGCCAGTCAGGCTTGTCAGGGACAAACCATGTACTGGCTTCCATCACAGACCAAGCAGGGCCTATCCTGGGGCTTTGGCTGGCAATGACCCTCTTCACTGTACTTTCAACTCATCTTTCACCCGCCCCCAGCACTGGCCTCAGGAACCCGTGCCTCCTCCAAGATCAAGTTCCCTCCTTCCTTCCAGGGCCTAAACCAGCACCTGGGACACAGGCTGAATCCAAGTAACTACTGGGTTAACACTGCCCATGAGCGCTCCACAGAACTCCCAACAGCCTCAGGCCTTCCCCCGGCAGCTTCTCTCTCTAGAGAACATCCGTCCATCCTGATGTACTGCGTGCCCTGGGGCACACACCCTTACCATCACTGGAGGAACAAGAAAGTCATTCCAAGATGTCACCTGACACCTTCCTTACAGCAACATCCTGGTGCTGTGGGTTGACATCACAAGCAGCAAAACAATGAGTGTTCCCAGGCAGAGCAGAGGACCAGCCAGCTGGCTCTCCATCGGGCTGGAAGGGCCTTGGAGACACACTGCACAAAGGGTCAAGTGGCACCCAGGGTAATCAGAGATAAGGGCTGGTGAACTTGACCCATGGCCCTTGTAGCCACACCAGACATGAAGCCAAGAAAGAAACCTGTAAATGTGCATGAGGAGCCTCGAGGCCAAATGGGGAGCAGCTGAGAGGCCTGCCTCTTGCCCCGCAGCCTGGCCTGGGAAAGGCACGCTGAACAGAGCGGGCAGTTCAGTTACCTAAGAAAGGCCGTCTGGGGGCTTGTGCAGGAAAGAGGGTCACTCAGGATGTGACAGGGACCTGAGAAGTGCTGAGCAACTTAAGGGCTCTGTGTGGCTTTTGGGCACAGGTTAAAATTACTTGAGTTAGTCTCTCCAAATTCTCAAAGCACGTGAGCGCATGCGCCCTGCAGAAGGCAGCTGGGCTGCCCGAGGGCTGGCCCGAGAGCTGCCGCAGGTTTCCAGGTTAGAGCTCTCTTACTTGTTCCCGTGACGACTTCCTTCAGCCCTGAGAAAAGCTCAGGCCACCCTAAGCTTGAGAAACGCACATGTCTGATCTAACACCAGGGAGCAGAGAGAGCTCCCGCCCCCAGCACCATGGGGCAGTAAGTTTGGCAGCCGAGGGGACATGGCTGCCTAGAACCCAGCCCCCAGCTCACCTCCAGGGCCTGTGCGGAGCCCATCCCTCAGTCTGCCCGCGTGCACACCTGTCCAATGAGGTGGCCCCGGAGTGCAAAGAGCCTAGCTGTGGCGCAGCCCCGGGCTGGGACTGGGCTGGTCTTTCTGCACAGGACTCCGAGCAGACTAAGCATTCTGAAGTATTGAAACTGCCTTCCAGGTTATCAAGGTGGAAGGGTGGGACAAGTTCTATGTCACTGTTTCTTGGCTTTATTTATAATTCTTAAATGCGCGCACAATGTCGTGGGGCCTCTGTTTGTACTCTCACCCAAGTCCTGCAGAGATCAGGGCTGATGAAGGTCAAGGTCAGGCTTGGACTCCTTCCAACTGAGTTTAGGGGAAGGCCAGTGTCATCTGATTATAAAATACCATCTATTGGCTACTGCCACCCTATTGTGTGCCAGCTACTCACCTTTCCTCTAATCGTTGCAATAACCTTGAAAAGTTAAAGTTTGATCCCCACTTCTAGATAAGGAAATAGAGGCTCAGAGAGCCAAGGTAACTTGCCCAAAGCCACATGGCCCATAAATGGTTGTGGAGGGGGCCCCTGCTCCAGGCCTCTCCTTGGCTGCTCCCTCCCCCAGGGTCTTGGTGAGGACTACTGCAGCCACCTGTATGATACCACGCGATGTGCCCACTGCCTGGACCAACTGGCTTGACCCACAGACTTCTGGGGACAGAGTCCCCTCCACCTGCTCACGTGCCCTGGTGCTATGGAAACCATTCAGCCTCCCCCTTCTCACGCATCTCCAACTGGTTTTGGCTCCAGGGGGAGCCTGGAGGAGGAGCTCCCCGGGCCCTCTTACCAGGTGCAGCAGCACTCGCAAGGCGTCCCGTGCACGCTCCGGGTGCTGCAGGATCTCAGTGAGGGCCTGGCCGATGAGCGAGGAGGGGCTGTTCAGCTTCACGTCACTCCCAATGAGCATGAACCCTGTGGAGAGTGCAGAAGGACACCTCAGAGCCTGTCGTCACCTCAGCTGGGCTCCGGTGAGAGCAAGCAGACTGGGCCGAGCTGGGAAGGTCTACACGTCCACCTAGAGCCTGTCCCCTTCCCAGGCGCCACTCCTGTAAGCAGGACCTGGAGGAGGCACAAGACAGAACAGTCTCCTCAAGCCACCAGGCCACTGTAGGGCCCAACTGCCCTCAAATAATGGAGGGAAAGGGTTTTCAAAAAGAATGAGCCAAAGCTGTTTTTAAGGGTCATGGGACAACAACATTAAATATCACTTTCCCCAGAACAAAGTTGTGACCTTAAATTATCTATCACTAAAACTAAACAAAGACAAAACCACCACGTCCCCAAGCACACTGGGGGAACAGGAGGGGGCCCTGCACAGAGGAGACGGGGACTCATCAGGAATAAACAGGAAAGCACAGAGACCGGGTTCCCACGGCCCTGCAGACTGTTCTGTGGGCCCAGAGCCCCTTCTGACGGCCGGAGCACATGTCGTTGAAGGGACATCGAGTGCTGAGCTCTTCCGCTTTTCCATGATCGCATGGAAACCGCCAGCAGCACCTGCGATACCTGCCTCCTGGCAGCAGGAGCAGTTGAGCAATGTAGCCGGGCCCAGAGCCTCAGTGGCCGCCTGCCCACCTTGAGGCGGGGCCACCAAATAGTAGGCCTGCTGGACCGACGACATGTTTCTCTCCAGCCACGAGAAGAACTGGGTGGATTCTACGTAGTTGTTTTGGATACGTTTTTGAAAACATACTACGGCTGTGTTGTGTTTGTGACGTAAACATGTGCCCACATGTCAATAACACAGCTCATCCGCTTGGCATTCCCCCAGCACAGCTCTGCACCGGGGCCTGCGGGCTCCCCATTTGCGGGCTGGCAGGGCCTGCGAGCACCGTGGCTCTACCGCAAGGCTCCTCCAGCGTGCAGGTGACACTGACAATGTCAGCACACGTCAACTGGACTGATTCCGAGAGGAGGAGTAAGTTGAAGGCCATTTTGTTACCAGCTTTTAAATATATCCGCAGATGGTACATTTTTGGCCATTAAAACAAAATGTAAACGTTTAAAAGTAGTGTATTTGTTTATCAAGGTTTGAGACACGACATTACGGGCCAGTACTGTCGTTATGGCATCCGCGGAGCATCCTGGGAGGCGTAGGGCTGATTCTGAGGGGCCACCCCAGACTGAGGTCATGAGGTGTGTCAGCTAAACCAGCCAGCAGGGTGCAAGGCTGGGCGGGGGAGTGGTCCTGAGTCGGGTTTGGACTGCAGCCTCGCAGGGAGGGTCTCCTGCATGGGAGGAGGGCCCACAGGGACCCTGGAGGATAATGGTCATCATAAGGAGCTGAGAGGCAGAGTCCCTTGTCCCCCCTCCTGTGACCAGCTGTCACAGGGAACATTCTCCCTTCACTCCCAGACCCTCCGACCCCCGCAGCAGGCCCACACGGAGCACGCATGGTGGGTGTAGTACACCGTGCACATCACAAGACGTTCATCCTCCTTGAGGATCACCTCGCCTACGGACAGGGAGGAACCGTCGGCACCGCCTCCATCAGCCCCGTGTGGCCACTGGGGACGCTGAGCTTCAGAGAGGGTCAGTAACCTGCCTCGGGTCACACAGCCTGGCCATGGAGCTGGAGCAAATGCAAGTCTTCTGCATGCAAACCTAGGGTCTTCACCACACTGCTGCCCTTTACTACGGTGGTCAGACTGCACATGAGGGCGCCGTACAGTGGGTCTGGGTTGTCCAGGAAACACCTCGGGAGTTTGACATTCACACTCCAGGGGCAAAAGACTGTTTAACGCTATGGTGGCAAAAGCCTCATTTGGTGAGGGCAAGTCTCAGCAAAGGAGGTTCTCCCCAGTCTCCCCATGCTGCTATCCCCACGCCCCGCCCACCCTCCTCCCCACCCCAGGGGCCCTGGCGCGGCGCTCTCACCTGCCCAGTTGGAGGGGTGTGCGAAGGCCTTGCTGCTCTGCACCACCTTCATGGCCTCCGCCAGGGCAGCGCTGGCTTTCAGGCTGTTTAGCAGGGACGAGTAGAAGGCGTGAAGAAACATTTTGGAAGCAGCCACAGGCACAGGCCACAGAGACACCAGGACACACTGTGCACCGGCAGCCAGGAAGGCACGAGTCAGCGCGATGACCCCGTCAGCCGTGACTTTGCTGTTGGACTCCTGAGAGGAGCCGAGGACCACCAGCTTCACGGGGAGCCGCAGGTCCAGGACGTCGGCGGCCGTGAGCAGCAGCTCCTGCAGGGGCGGGCAGTCCGAAATGCTCTCCCCGTCACTGGCATCATCCTGCACCCGCAGGGACTCGGGGATCGTGTAGGGGTGGCCGAAGGAGCTCTTGCTGCTGGCGGGGTTGCCGTCCATGCTGGGCGTGAGGACCAAGGCCGACAGTTTCCAAGAGATGTGGGTGGCGAAGTGGACACACTCAGCCTGGGTCAGGGCACTCATGACCCGCTCTTTGGTGGCTACACTGCCCACCAGTGGCTGGCAGCCCAGCAGTTCCGACACCATGTAGGCTTCCTCCTCGGCTGACGGCATTGGCCCCCACAGCCACCTGTCCATCACTGCTGACGGGAGTTTCGGGTTGCCGATGACAGCCGCCATGGATGTGGAACTGGAGTAGGTGGGCGGGGTCTTCCTCAGGTGACACTAGGCGGGAGGGAGGACACACACACACCACCGTCAGACCAGGAGCACGGGGACAGGGGCCAGCTCTCCACGAGGGCTGGGTCTGCCTCGACCCCCCTGCTCGCCCGCTAACCTCGTGCACTCTAATTTCCAACACCTTTTTCACACAGGTGCAGGTCTTACTGCAAATCACACCTGCTGTGACAAGCCCTTGAAGATAATCAGGACTGGGCGGTGCGAAGGCCACTCCCTGTCTGTCAGACCTCAGAGGGCTGGGGAGGTGGCGCTGGGGGGACGGACAACTTTGGAGGCGAGGGCCTGTGGTGGCCACCTGCCCCGCGTCTCACCCCCACGGGCCTTCCCCGGGAGCCCCTGAAAAAGGGGAGACCACTCCTGATGAGTCGGGGGTGGGGGTGGCTTTGTTTAAACTGTGAAAAGCAAGTCAGCCTCAGGGAAGACGGGCCAAATCCAGTCCTTTAGGGGCCTGGCATTACTGAAAAGACGATCGTCCCTCCACTTCGTGTGCTGCAAAGTGAAAATGTCTCTGAATTACAAAGCCAGCACAGAGAAAAACGAAGTTCTGATTTGCCCCCACGATGCCTTTTGATGCCTCCTGGGGAACATCGAGTATGAAATTATTTCAAAATAACTTTTTGGTGCCTACAGGTGCTGATGCCTTAAAACTTTGGGTAAGAGAAGTGCCTTTTGGGTGCCCGTCAGGAGACGGGACTCTCCCCTCGCGTGGTGGCGCTGGCACACAGCCCGCTCACTGTTGTCACCCACGTGAACTCTCTCCACAGAGGTGGTCTCTGATCCCCAGGGTGCTCCGGGCACGGCGCGGTGGACCTGCCGCTCCCCGCCCCGTGTGGGACCACATCCACCCAGGCCAGCTTGCTTCGCTTCTGGGATTCGGTCAGCAAGGACTGGAGGAAACTCAGAGAAAATAATTTCTTTCTCTTGACCTGATTTTGTCCCATGAGAAAGGTACGATTCAGCAACAAGAACAGCCCAAACTAAGAACTCCGGAGCCCCGTGAAGCAGAAGAATGACCTGCCCAAAACCATGCTGATGACCGAGGCCAGCAGAGGCCGTCCAAGGCAGGGCCGTTGGGCCTGGATTCTGCGTTCTTAGCCCTGCTGACACTTCCTCCCCCCACACGAGGCCCCTCTGACCGAGCCCCTCCTGGCGGTCTGGGGGCTCTGTGAGCCACCGGCGGCTGGAAGGCATTTCCAGGTCTGACGCAGGAGTTCAGGTCCTGGTGGTGACGGCGGCCCTGTGGCTGGGGCAGCGAAGGTCGAGAAGGAAGCCAAGGTTTCGGGGCTTCTGAGCAAGTTTGGGAAAGGGAACTCGGGTTGGCTGTAAAGACTCTCTAGCCAGGTGGGCAAGGCCGAAGGTGGCCGTGGGGTGGGACCTGTAGCCTGTGGGGGCCACTGTTGCCCTCTTGATTGTCACAGATGTTTCTTCCCACACTGACTTTTTTGCTGAATGAGACCCGAGTCCCACCTGGTCCCCTGAAAGCCGCCTCACTTATTTTCAGTTCTTTTGTTGGCCTGTGGGGCTCTTGACACTTTTCGCTTGACACTAATCTTGTCTGCCACCGCTGCCTGTGGCCCTGCACTGGGACCGGCTGTGCCTCAGCGCCTCGCTGCGGGCCTGCGTGCCACCGGGCGACCAGCCTCCTCTGGGACTCAGCCTGGCCCTGAGCCTGGCTCAGTGCCTCCAAGTTCTCACAGTCCCGATGTCACAGCAAAGAAAGTGAAAGTGGCCCGAATCGTGGCCACCTGAAGCAGCAAAGAACCACCAGGGCTGTGCCCCTGCCCGCGGACAGCGCTGAAGTCATCCTACCCAGCTGCCGACTACCCAGTTAGCGGTTTGGAGAGGTCACACCCCGTGGCTTCGGGGCCCATCTGGATGGAGACTGGGCCTCGAGGACCCAGAATGAGCGCCCACAGGTGTGCCGTGCGCCTTACCTTGGACTGCGGGCCGAGGGCGCGGATGGAAGGGACGGCGATGAGGGCGAAGCGCTCGTACAGGTACTCGTTGGAGGAGCTTCCTTTCAGGAGGGCGAAAGGGATGAGGTAGAGCTCCCCCTCCAGAACCAGGACCAGCTGCCGGTGCCGGCCCACGGGGCCGCTGGAGTGCATCAGGCCCTGCGGAGCAAGCGCGGCACTGACAGGGGGCCAGGCGGGGCCGGGCTCACGCACACCGGGCCAGCGCCGCGCAGCAGACTGAAACGCCTGGAGGACCACAGGGTCCCATGGGAGATGGGCTGGGCACTGCTCACAGGAACATCACCAGGTGGGGCCTTCCACCACCTCACAGGCCCTGAGGAGGGGGTTAGGGGACAGTCTCTTCAAGTCCACAGGGGAGGGCGGGAGGCTGGGGTCGCCAGTCAGGGAGTGGGGGTCCCACGAAGACGAGGCCCAGCCCCAGCAGACCCAGGCATTTCCACAGGAGTCAGGGGATTAGTGTACAGAGCGGCCACCCCAGAAAGGGCTCTGAGAGTCACAGAGGCCGAGGACAGAGGGGACACACCGGCACAGGGGCCCTACCTGCAGTGTCGGAATGACTCCTTTCACTACGTAAGACCTCAGCCGGAGTGGGACGTGCCACCCGTCTCAGTGGACGAGAGGCCAGAAACCCACAGTGGGGACAGACGGTGTGGGAGCCAGGTGACGTCCCCCGGGGGGAGGGTTCTGGACTCTGGCACCTTTGGTGACCTCCGGGCCTCTGTGCTCCTCTGAGGAGAAGGTGGCCCCTTGGCCTGGGCTCTGCAGTGCTGTCCCCATTCACTCCCCCAGGGCTGTGGGGGATGTGACCCCCATCGCTCCTGACACCCATGTTGGGGACCTGAGGGAGGGGTGCATGGAGACCCACAGCAGGCAGACACCTTTCCTGTTCTCTGCAGATGCATTTCTGTCCAAAAGAATTGTTGCTGGAGACCAAGGGCATATGAGCCTTGGTAACAGAAAGGGACAGTTGGGAACTCGGGCCTGGACAGGCTGAGGGTGAAGCAAAGATGACGCGGAGGCTGCTGCCCGTGCTGGGGAGACGCCGCCCGACAGACCATGCACGCGCACTGCACCTCGGGCGGCGGCCCTGGCTCTGCCAGAGTCACAGCCAGGCTCCCCTCAGCCTCGCCCGTCTGCCAACCAAGCGGAGCGCCCACCAGGGGGCTGCCCTGCTCTGGAGGGGCAACTGTGTGCACCTAATCCAGCTGACGGACTGCTGTGGGCACTTGGCTGAGGGTGGCAGGCGGCACTCAGCTAACCCAAAGTGACACACGCCTGGCCGGACATTCAGTCTGTACAAACCCCCTGTGGCTTTTTTTTTTCTTTTTTTAAAATCTAGCTGCGTCTAAAGAAAGCAGAAACGAAAATATTAGGCCAATTTGCTTCTTGCTTGCTTTAAGAGCTGTTTCCCAAGAAGGGATAAAAAATCACTGCAGGACCCAGGAAGGAAGAAGTGGGGTGTGTCACAATGCCCCCAGTGCTGCTGGCGATGAGTTTTGGGTAGAGGTGGGGGTGGGGGGTGTGAGGAGGGCCTGGTGACCCGCCGTGGGGCCACACTGAGCCCCCTGCCTGGCCTGGCAGGGCGGGGAGGCTCTGGAGGTCGGTGCCCCTGCTGCTGCAGCCTGCCCAGCAGACCTGGAAGCTGGCTGGAATGGTGGAGCTGATGGTGTCTTGGCCTCAGGGACAGGTCAGCAACTGTGACAGTGACAACCGCTCGCTGCTCAGTGAGAGCCCTACTGTGGGCACCGTGGGGACTCAGGCCGCCTGCCCTATGTACTGCAGCACCAGACCCACCTCAGCTGACCTGGCGATGCCAGGCTGCTGGACGAGAGGCCAGCCCCACCCCTGCAGGCCCTCCCTGGGCTCCTGCTGCCAGGACCCGGATCCCAGTGAATCTTGGTCAGGTGTCATCCCTCGGCCACTGACTGACCCAGGACAAGCCCCCGTCGTGACAGCACCTGCACGTGTGAATCAAAGGCAAGCCAAGGAGCTCTGGGTGAGGTCAGAGGGGTGACACTGAGGCCACAGCCTGTGTCAGAGGGGGTGGCGCTGCGCACGGTAATTCACACACGCTGACGCTCACCAAGAGAAGGGCATGGGAGGCTTGCTGGCGTGGGAGCTGAGCTACTGGGCAGGGAAGGGACACGCCCCTGACATTCCAGCCTGGGGGCCTGGGACGTTTTTCTCTGAGCTGCGTGTCCCAGTGCACAGATCTGAGTCCTCCTGGGACGTGCCTCATGGCTGCTACTGAGCTGGCACATGCGTGCAGCCCTGGGTGAGGGCCCTGAATGGGTCCCCTGTCCAGGCAGCGGGAAGACGGACTGAACGCACTGGGAACGGTGCCCTGGAAACTGCCTCTGAATCCTGCCTCCAGTACACACGAGCATCGTCCCTGTACCAAGGGATTAGCTATAATCCAGTGGGAACTTGAAAAATGAAGTGATGTCTCTCTCCAAATCCCCATCATCTGTTAGAGGGAACAGGAGAGGCGGGCCGAGGAGCGCTCCTCCGTGTCCCCGTGTCAGGCTGGAGGGGGTGTGTCCCAGCTTCTGCTGCCCGGGCGAGTAAGGTAACAGGGCTCAGCACCAGCCCTGTGCCTGCAACCGACAAAGTCCGACAAATTCCAGCAGAGACTCCATTTTTCTGACCTTTGAAGTTTCTGGAAATGGATCTTTTGAAGCAGAACAAGACAAGGAAGCAGGTGTGCTGCAACCTGTGTGTTCCCCAGGGAGCGTCCCTTCAGTCACCAGCGGGCTGGGACCCTGCTGGTCGCGGTGCGAGTCCACGTGGCACACAGCGCCGGAGAGCTGGCTGAGGGCCAGGCCTGGGGTGGACAGGGGAGGGCCGAGTGCCCAGCAGGCGGGGCAGCAATGAGCAGACAAGTCGGAGAAAGGCCCAGCCTTTGCAGAGAGAGAGGGGTGTTCCTGTACCCGAGGTGGGCAGTGGGCACCCTGGAGGTGGTTCTGGGGGCTGTCAGTGCACGGCCTCAGCTTCTGCTGCCCTGTCAGTGCCGGCTCTGCGGTCCGCTGGGTTCCTGCAGCCAGCTCCGCAGCGAGTGGGCAGCTGCCGGGCCTTCTCGACACCGGGCCCTGGGGGGCTCGGGGGGAGGGGCTCTCCTGCCAGTGGTCTAGGTTGGTGGTGTGTGTGTGTGTGTGTGTGTGTGTGTGTGTGCGGACACCAGGGGAGCCCAGAACATGGTCCTTCTGTGACCTTGCAGTCTTCATCTTCACGTGGCATTAACATCTCCACCATCCAGGGGGCGGAACCCCATCCCACACCTTCTCCGGTGTCAGTCCTTTCTTGGGTGTGCGCCCTCAGCCAGGGAGAGCCATGCAGAGTTCACACACACACACACACACACACACCATGTTTTTCAGACTAAGATATACCCCCTTTGCCCCCCAAATTTGGGAGGAAAATACAGTGGTGACCCTGCTCCTGCCTCCTGTGACCCCGCTCCACCGCTGCCCCCCCACCACAGCAAGCCAGGTAAGCTACATTCGGACTGTAAGACGCACCCCACTTTTCCTCCCACATTTGGGGGGTGCGTCTTATGGTCTGAAAAATAGAGTGTGTGTGTGTGTGTGTGTGTGTGTGTGTGTGTGTGTGTAATTTAAAGTTATTCTTTTACCATAGGGAGTTAAGTTTTCATATTAAATTTCCCCGGGTTCACCTATTGTGCAGTTTCCGTCTCCCGACTGGGCCTAGGCGGCCTGTCTCGCGAGGACTGGGAGGATCGAAGCCTCGTCCGGGGACCGGGGGGAGGGACACAGCCTGGGCAGAGGCCTTTGCCATGGGACCTGGGTCGGGCGGCCACGTCAGGAGCTCCGCGTGGCCTGGAAGTGCCAGATCGTAGGGCACGTGGGGAAGGCTGGGGACAGCTTGGTGGTGAGAGGACCCTCGACCCCCTGCGCCCCGGTCCCCAAACCCACGAGACAGCACTCGTCTCCACCGCCCCACGAGCCCGGGGGCAGAGCCGGCTGCAGCAGGGTGCGGTGCACGCGGGTGGCAACGGGTGGCACCCGGTGGGCACTTGGCACAGATCCGGCCCAGATGTGAATTCCCAGATGTCTTCCGGTGCTTGAAACAGGGTGAACACGGGCATTACTTACACTGTTCTCTCCTCTGGGCCTCAGTTATTTTCCAAAATAACTCATTCCCTTTCCCTCCGGTGTTCATAAACAGTCGTGTGGCTGAAACACGTAAATGGCCTCTCTGGAGGATCCAGCCCCAAATCTTAACCTGGGGACTGAGACACCCGTGTCACCACTCTCCCTCTCGCATCCTCACCGTCCTCTCCACCCACAGCTACCCCCGAGTGCCCACGGCACCTGACACAGGTGAGGTCTGCTACCAGCAGTTGCCCTGAGTCGAGTATCTGAGGCTGCCGTCCTCCCCGGCAGCCCCGCGGGTCCCGCACGTTCGTGTGGGTGGTAAATTCCGGGTCGATGACCGTCTGGCCAGTGGGGATCGCCCAGATAGACTCGCGGTGCCCGGGGCTCCTGAACTGTTTGGAAAGCACGGACACCAAAGGTGGTGTCTCACGTGTCCTGACCTCTGGCTTAAGAACTACATGTTCCGTGCACATCGCCAGGGTTCACAGGGTCAGCTTGCAACCTCCGGCCACCTGTGCGACACTGCACGTCGTGCCCACTGCTCAGACAAGCTGGCGGGGCCTCGGACGTCTGGGGACAATACCCCTCCATCTGCTCGTACGCCCTGGTGCTTCGGGAACCCTTTAGTGCCCCCCTCACAGGAGGCCTCTCGGGGGTCATGGCACCACGGGCCAGAGGAGTGAACGTCCCTGATCTTCCTGGGTCCATGAGCTTTCGGGGAGATTAGACTGGGGATGAGATGGACTTTACTGTGTATAACAAAGATTCAAAGATTCAAAAAGCAAAGAACTGTTGGTTGGGCCCCCAAACCATGCTCAGGGCCCTGAGGGCTTTTTCCTGACTCAGATGTTGGACTAAGTGAACTGACCAGACAGAACTCTTTAAGGCAGAGGAGACTTTTCTGTGATGCTTTGGACGGATCTTGATATCATGGATGGGTGTACAGTTTCAGCAAATGTCACACACGGTTGTCCCCATTATCCACAGGGGACACATTCTAGGAATCCCAAAGGGTGCCTGAAA